GACTCCTCCTCGCCAACGGTCCTCTTTCACTATGGAAACCTAGGCTCAGAGAGAGACACGCACTTGCCCAAGGTCATGCAGTAAGGAGTCACGTCAGTGGCAGGGCTGGGATGCATGCCAGGCTAGACCAGAATGTTAACATTTTCTGCTCTTGGGGACTTTCACCTGATTTTCCTTCTACATCAGGGGCTGCCATTTCTTGGGTCCCTTTGCTAGTTCCTTTCCCCAATGTCATCACCTTTGTAAAATCAACTAGATGAATTTAGTGAAAGAATTTAAGCCCCTGAATGCCTCCCACCCCTGCAGTCAAGCTCCTCAGACACTATGATCAGACCAACCATTCTGAGGTATTTGTAATTCCAAGCACACACCAGGTGGTTTCACACCCCCAAGCTTTTGCCCATCCTGTTCCCTCTGTGTGAAATACCCTTCCTGCCTTGTCCGCTAAGCAATCTGCTAGTTGTCTTTCATGGCCCTGTTCATTTACTTGGTTGAAAAATACATACTGAGTGCCAAACATGTGCCAGGCACTGGAGAGAGAATGGAGAACAAGCCAGAGCCTGACCACAAGTCTCTGACCTTGTGGATCTCAAGTCAACAAACAAGGGACCCAAGAAATATTTGATGATAAATTATAATGAGTGATATCGAAGAAACAAACAGGATGTGGGGACATGACAGGATGATCAGGGAAGGCCTCCAGGAGGAGGTGACATCAGAGTGGAAACCTGAAGGTTGGAAGGAAGCAGCTGCTTGAAAAGTGGGGAGAAGAAATGGCAGGTGCAAAGGCCCTGAGGTGGGAATGAGATTGGAACATTCAGCCAGCTTCAAGAATTGCCACATGGCAGGGCCGCAGGGCCAGGTGCGGTGACTCACGCCTGTAATCCCAGCACTTTGGGATGCCGAGGCAGACGGATCACCTGAGGTTTGGAGTTTGCAACCAGCCTGACCAACATGGAGAAACCCTGTCTCTACTAAAAATACAAAATTAGCCAAGCGTGGTGGCATATTACGCCTGTAATTCCAGCTACTCGAGAGGCTGAGGCAGGAGAAACGCTTGAACCCGGGACGTGGAGGTTGTGGGTGAGCCGAGATTGCACCATTGCTCTCCAGCCTGGGCAACAAGAGTGAAACTCCGTCTCAAAAAAAAAAAAAAAAAAAAATGAATTGCCACATGGCTAGAGCAGTATGTAAGGGGGTGTGGCAGATGTTGAGATGAGGGAGGTGACAGGGGTCATATAATCCAGGGCCTTCTGCAGGGTTGTGGGGAGGAGTTTGGATTTTTGTTGTTGTTGTTGTTTTTGAGACAGAGTCACTCTTGTTGCCCAGGCTGGAGTGCAGTGCAGCAGTCTTGGCTCATTGCAATCTCCACCTCCTGGTTCAAGCGATTCTCCTGCCTCAACTGCCCGAGTAGCTGGGATCACAGGCGTGCATGCCCTGCTAATTTTGTAGTTTTAGTAGAGACGGGATTCTACCATGTTGACCAGGCTGGTGTAGAACTCCTGACCTCAGGTGATCTGCTCACATCAGCCTCTCAAAGCACTGGGATTATAGGCATGAGCAACCGTGCCCAGCTTGGATTTTATTCTGAATGCCTTCTCTCATTACTCCAGAAGGTAACATAACATTTATCTATGAAGTGACATCATGGACCTCCTGGAAAAGTCTGGGCCAGGGTTTTGGTTTTTTGATTTTTTTTTTTGTTTTTTTTAGAGATGGGGTCTCACTATGTTTTCCAGGGTGGCCTTGAACTCCTGGGTTCAAGTGATCCTCCCACCTCAGCCTCCCAAAGTGCTGGGATTACAGTGCTGGTGTAAGCCACTGCACCTGGCCATAGCCAGGATTAAAGGGAGAATGACCAAGGTATATTGAACTCCTATGCACCCTTCAATACCCTGTTCCAGTTACCCTTTTGTAGGGCCTTGCTGATGCTTCAGTCAAAACCCCTGTCCCCCAGCCCTGATGCACTCCTCTGCCTCCATTGTGATCACAGGGGCTAGGAGTATCTGTGCCCCTATGACTGGGAGTGGAGGGGGTATTGGTGAGTGTTCAATGAGTCATATCTATATAACTGTTTCTATCGGCTTCAACAGGGCTCTGAAGCAGAAGATCTGGCCTGGCATCCCGAGCCCAGAGAGCGAGTTTGAAGGCCTCTTCACCACCCACAAGGGTAACTTCCAGGTAGGTGACCTGGTTGTCCCCTCAGTGCCTGGGCTTCCCTGCTTCTTGCAGCCAAACTGCAGGCCTCTCTGAGCAGGTTGGTGCTATTTCTTCAGCTGTGGCTGTACCAGAACGATGGCTGCCTGTGGTGGAGCCCCTGCACCCCCTTCACAGAGGACCCACCTGCCTCCCTGGAAGTCCTCTCAGAGCGCTGCTGGGGGACGATGCAGGCAGTGGAGCCGGGGACAGATGATGAGGGCCCCCTGCTGGAGCCAGTGGGCAGTGGGCATGCCCAGGATACCTATCTGGTGCTGGACAAATGGTTGCTGCCCCGGAACCCGCCCAGTGAGGACCTCCCAGGGCCTGATGGCAGTGTGGACACAGTAGCCATGGATGAAGGCTCAGAAGCATCCTCCTGCTTGTCTGCTTTGGCCTCGAAGCCTAGCCCAGAGGGAGCCTCTGCTGCCAGCTTCGAGTACACCATCCTGGACCCCAGCTCCCAGCTCTTGCGTCCATGGGCACTGTCCCCTGAGCTGCCCTCTACCCCACCCCACCTAAAGTACCTGTACCTTGTCGTATCTGACTCTGGCATCTCAACTGACTATAGCTCAGGGGACTCCCAGGGAGCCCAAGGGGGCTTATCCGATGGCCCCTACTCCAACCCTTATGAGAACAGCCTTATCCCAGCCGCTGAGCCTCTGCCCCCTAGCTATGTGGCTTGCTCTTAGGACACCAGGCTGCAGATGATCGGGGATCCAACATGACTCAGAGAGCCAGTTGCAGACTCAAGACTTACTGAACAGGGAGGGCGAGGCCTCTCTCAGGAGTAGGGGCATTGCTGATTTTGTCTGCCCAGTCCATCCTGCTCAGGAAATCACAACCTTGCAGTATCTTTAAATATGTATAGTTTTTTTTTTTTTTAAATCTATCTTTATATACATATGTATGTAAGTTTTTCTACCATGATTTTTACAAACACCCTGTAAGTCCCATCTTCCCCTGGGCATAGGCCATGGGGTAGAAGTTAAAGTTCTTGAGCTTATTCAGAAGCTGAACCTGTAATCTGAATACTAATCATAACATAAAATAGTATGTTAAACAGCTCCTAAATCTTAGTGGCTTACCACACTAAGTGATTTCTCTCTCCTAACTCAGCTCAAATGGGCAGCCATCCACAGGATGAGTCAGAGGATAAGACTCTTCCAGTCTGTAGCTCTACCTTCTCTTAGGGTACTTAGATGGATCCTCTATTCTACAAACTGCCAGTCAGCAAGGGAAGAAAACGGGCAGCAATGACCCTCAATGGGCCATTTGAGGGATCTGGCCCGGAAATGGACTTCCTCTTTTCTTCTCACACCTCATTGGCTGGGAACAGTCACATGACCCCAGTCACAGGAAAGGCTGAGAAACTTAGTTTAGTTCTTCACCCAGGAAGAGCAAAGCTGTTTAACGGGCCTCTAGCTAGTCTCTGCAACTAACAATAATAACAATAATTCTGAATCAGGCCATGTTCTAAGAGAGTACTCTGATGACACTTGGTGTCAGCAAGTAACTCAATGGGAGTTTTGGTTTAACTATGGACAGGGTCTCTGTTACATAGGCTGGAGCCCAGTACCTCCAACATGGTTCGCTGCAGCCTTGACCTCCTGGGCTTAGGTGATCCTCCTGCCTCAGCTTTTCGAGTAGCTGGGACTACTGGCGTGCACCACCAAGGCTGGCTGTTTTTTTTTGTTTTTTTTAAAGACAGAATCTTGCTCTGTCGCCCAGGCTGGAGTGCAGTGGGCCGGATCTCAGCTCAATGCAAGCTCCGCCTCCTGGGTTCACGCCATTCTCCTGCCTCAGCCTCCCGAGTAGCTGGGACTACAGGCGCCCGCCACCTCGACCGGCTAGTTTTTTGTATTTTTTTAGTAGAGACGGGGTTTCACCGTGTTAGCCAGGATGGTCTCGATCTCCTGACCTCGTGATCCGCCCGTCTCGGCCTCCCAAAGTGCTGAGATTACAGGCTTGAGCCACTGCGCCCGGCCTTTTTTTTTTTTTTTTTTGAGACGGAGTCTCATCTCCATCACCCAGGCTGGAATGCAGTGGCTCGATCTCAGCTCACTGCAACCTCTGCCTCCTGGGTTCAAGCATTCTCCTGTCTCAGCCTCCCAAGTAGCTGGGATTACAGGTGCCAGCCACCACGCCTGGCTAAGTTTTGTATTTTTAGTAGAGACGGGGTTTCACCATGTTGGCTGGGCTGGTCTCCAACTCCTGACCTCAGGTGATCCACCTGTCTCGGCCCCTGAAAACACACACACGTGCCAGGACATGTGTGCAAGAATGTTCACAGCAGTAAATAAGGCAATCTAATGAAGAAATCAGGGTATAGTCACCCATGGAATTATATGCAATACGGAAAAAGGAATGAACTAAAAAAATGTAGCTGAATCTTAGTAACAACGTTGAGTGCAAAAAGGAAGTCTCAGAAGATTATGTTTATCATGAAACTTTTTTTTTTTTTTTTTTTTTTTTTGGGAGTCTCGCTTTGTCGCCCAGGCTGGAGTGTAATGGCACAATCTTGGCTCACTGCAACCTCCGCCTCCTGGGTTCAAGCGATTCTCCTGCCTAAGCCTCCCGAGTAGCTAGGATTACAGGCACCTGCCACCACACCCAGCTGATTTTTATTGTATTTTTAGTTGATACAGGGTTTCATCATGTTGGGCAGGCTGGTCTCCCAACTCCTGACCTCTGGTAACCTGCCTGCCTCAGCCTCCCTAAGTGCTGGGATTACAGGCGTGAGCCACCACGCCCGGCCTGAAGCTCTTTTTATAAAGTTTAAAGCAACAAAACTAAACAATATATTGATTGGGTACAATAGATACAAGATAATGCTATACTTTTAAAAGAGAAAAAGCACTTTACATTGTTTAGGTCTTTGGATCTGCATATGTCCCTGAGGTAAGTAGCCATGGGCAACTGAAACACAGAGAGGTGGTCACCCACCAAAGCTCAGGGCTGGCCTCCAGAGCTTGAACCCTTGCCTGAGCTGGGGTCACCAGCCTGGGTGGGCCATGGAGCAATCATCATTTCTCCATCTGATCGGAAAGTCACCCACCACTCTGTTCTGGGGCCCAGCCCGCCTGGATCCAGGCAGGCTCGGAGGCCGTGTTCTCCTGGACCTGGTGCATCTGGCTGCAGCCAGCACTGGGCAGGAAAATACCGCTGGAGCAGTGCCAGGTGCAGGACGTCCCCACTATCTGCCTCCTTCTGGGTCTGGAGGGCCACCATGAGCCCACAGTCCCGGCCAGGCCCAAGCCGGTGGCTGAAGTGGGCAGCTGTGTCTAGAAGTAAGGCAATGAGGTAGGCGGCTTCCTGGGGCTCTGGGTCTTCCGCTAGGTACTCTTCTAGGCCATCGAGCAGCAGAAGGGAGGGGGCTGGCCCCGGGGCTTCATGGGCAGAGCACAGGAGCCGGAAAAGCTCTCGGGTTGAGGGTGGGTACTGGAAGCGGATCTTCTAGAAGGAGAAACAGAAGGAAAGGGCCGGATTCAGCACAAGAAGCCAGACTGCTTGCAAGAGAACCCTGCCTCCTTGCATACTTTCCTTGGTTCCAGAATGAACCAGCTCAGAGTGGTTAAATATTCTTGTATTCGTCCCTTTTTCCAGCACTCATCACTGCCGAGTATTAGTTGAGGGCAAGTCATTTTTGCTTGTTTTTGGCCAAATCTCTAGGGCAGTTTTTCCACGGAAAACCGTCCCCCAGCATTGCATTGTCGGTCTGACCTCATCCTTGACACCAACAGGAGCCAACTCTGGTCCTGAATGGACCCAAGCTTGGCCCCGCCCCTTGATGGGCCTGACTTCACCCTCTGGGCACCGCCTCTTGCTAACACCGCCCATCATTGGATGGGCTCTCACTTCAATCTTAATTAAACTCCGCGTGGTGCCACCCCTCACTGCGCCTGCCTGACTCCGCCCCATCGTGGCTGCCCTGGCCCGCCCTTCCACCGTCCCCTCCATGGGCTTGTCTACCTGTCACTCAGTAGTCCCGGATCTACTCCACCATTGGCTAGAACGCCTCCACTCCCACCGCACAGTTACCTGGAGTCGCATTGGGTCTAGAGTCGTTCCGGTCCCGCGGGGCAGGCTTTGTAGGGGCCTCCGTGTCAGGAAGAGGACTGGGCCTTGGCCCTCCCCCGCCGCCTCTAGGGCCGCAGCAAATAGCAGCGCTGTTTTTCCAGACCCTGGTGCGCCGAGAAGCAGCAAAGGCGGTCCGGCGGCAGCCGTGTTCTCCTCCCCGGACCAGGCCGCACCGTCCCTGGTCAGCACCCGCCTCAGCGTCTCCGCCATTCGCCGCGTAGCTCTGTCCAATTGGTGGCTCTTTCCCAGTCTTAGTCCCGCCCAAGTCGAGGCCGCTTCGGTACAGTTCACTTAGTTTCTCTATTGGTTTAGGAATCTGTCCATCAAAACTCGATTCCTCTGGGGAATGAGCGAAGGGTTAGAACCTATGCGGAGGAAAGGGTGCATTCGAGGGAAATAGGGAAATAAGGTCCTTCCTTAAGGGAGGCTGCTGGGGGAACCAGCACGAATACTGTTATTGTCAGCTAATGAGACAAATATAAGGATTAAGAATTGGAGGAGCAGACCAGAATGAGTGACATATTCTTTAAAGTCGCCTAGCCTCAGTTTGCCCTCCTGTAAAATGGGGTTTATGATATCTCAGAGGAGTATTGTGATCGGCATGTATTTGTGTGTGGTTTTGCTGATGTCATCCAATGACAACTGAGAATTGAAGAGGGGGATGAGCTGTGTGCTTGTCCTTCTGTGCACCTGAGTATGGGCAGGAGTGTGTGTCTGGGGACACAGGCTCAGGGACACAGCCGTCCCCGAAAGTCTGTGAGATGAAGGCTCTCAACTTCCTCACTGGCTAAGGGGTTCTGTGGGGCCTTCCTTGTGGTGCGGGGGGAGGGCAGGACCGCAGGACAAAGAAGGGAGCAGGAGAGACAAAGAGACGGGCGCTGAAACACTGAAGGAGAGATACAGCAGGGACATTGTTTGTCTTGTTCACTTCTGTTCTCCAGTACCCACAATAGCACCTGGCACATTTGTAGGTTCTCAAATACAGGCTCGTTAAGACAATGAAGGAAGGGAAGTGGGATTGATGAGAAACAGGGAGAAAGGGAGGAACAAAGTGAATGATCGTGATCCCTGGCTGGATCTTCTCACCCAGACTTCGTCCCAGAGCTGCCACTCACGCCTGTGTTGCCCTGGCAACCTTGTCTCCTGGTAACTCCAAAGTGGTGCCGTTGCCTGGAGACCCAGGGGCAGGGAGAAAGTGAGATTTCCTGGGCTTTCTCTCTCCCTCTGGGACCAGAAAACAGCTCCACGACATCCCCCAACACACCCACTCACACAGCTGGGCACCCTCACACCCCTCTACACACACACACACACACACACAAACACACACCCACCATGGCATCTCTGAATATATTCTATTTTCAGAATCTCCATCATGCACATGCTCCAACCTTTCCCTATCCTGACACAAAGCATCCCATACAAACTCTGTCCCACATTCATCCCCCACACCCTTTCTCTTGCAAAACACGTAACTATGACATTGCCACTACACACGCAGACACACACAGTGAAGCACACCGATACACTGCGCTGTCAAACACCCTACCTCAGTCCCCATCCCCCAGCAGATACACAACCCATGATTCACCTCACATTTCAACACTCCAGATGCACAAACAGGCCTGGTATGGTGGCTTATGTCTGTAGTCCCAGTGCTTTGGGAGGCCAAGGCAGGAGGATTGCTTGAGGCCAAGAGTTCAAGACCAGCCTGGGCAATGTAGTGAGACCCCATCTCTACAAAATACTTAAAAATTAGCCAGGTGCTAATTTTTAATATCACTGGGCACGGTGTGGCTCATGCCTGTAATCCCAGCACTTTGGGAGGCTGAGGTGGGCAGATCATGAGGTCAGGAGATCAAGACCATCCTGGCTTACACAGTGAAACCCCATCTCTACTAAAAATAGAAAAAAATATTTAGCCAGGCATGGTGGTGGGCACCTGTAGTCCCAGCTACTTGGGAGGTGGAGGCAGAAGAATGGCGTGAACCCGGGAGGCGGAGCTTGCAGTGAGCCGAGATCATGCCACTGCACTCCAGCCTGGGCGACAGAGCGAGACTCTGTCTCAAAAAAAAAAAAAAATTTAGCCAGGTGTGGTGGCGTGCACCTGTAGTCCTAGCTACTCGGGAGTCTGAGGCAGGAGGATTGCTTGAGCCCAAGGAAGTCAAAGCCGCAGTGAGCAGTGATTGTGCCACTGCACTCCAGCCTGGACAACAGAGCAACACCCTATCTCAACAAAAACAAAACAAAACAAAACAAAACAAAAATGCACAAATAGTCAGTAGTAACACCCACATAACAGAGTCCAGCATAGTTACATACATGGGAGCATGCTGAATACAGCCTCACCACAAGTCCTTTGTACTTGATGATCTTGTGTGTGTGTAGCAGTCAGCTTCCAGATATCCTTCTGGCTTTTTTTTCCTTTTTTCTTTTTTGAGACACAGTTTTGCTCTTGTTGCCCAGGCTGGGGTGCAATGGCATGATCTTGGCTCATTGCAACCTCCGTCTCCCAGGTTCAAGTGATTCTCCTGCCTCAGCCTCCCAAGTAGCTGGGATTATAGGCATGCACCACCACGCATGGCTGATTTTGTATTTTTAGTAGAGACAGGGTTTCTCCATGTTGGTCAGGCTGGTCTCGAACTTCTGACCTCAGGTGATCTGCCAGCCTTGGCCTCCCAAAGTGCTGGGATTACAGGTGTGAGCCACCGCGCCCAGCCAACTTTTTTTTCCCTCCACTCTTTTTAGGTCTTTGGTCAAAATATCATCTACTCAGAGACTCAGAGAGGCTCTCCTGGACTGCCTGCCCAAAATTGCACACATTTCACTCTCTAACTGATTATTTGTTTTTGTAGTTATTGTTGTTGTGTTGGTTTGTTTTTTCGAGATGGAGTCTTGCTCTGTCACCCAGGTTAGAGTGCAATGGCACGATCTCAACTCACTGCAATCTCCACCTCCCGGGTTCAAGCTATCCTCCTGCCTCAGCCTCCTGAGTAGCTGGGACTACAGGTGCATGCCACGACCCCCAGCTAGTTTTGGTATTTTTAGTAGAGACGGGGTTTCTCCATGTTGGCAAGGCTGGTCTCGAACTTCTGACCTCGTCCACCCACCTTGGCCTTCCAAAGTGCTGGAATTAACAGGCGTGAGCCACCGTGCCCGGCCAGCTGTCTTAATTTCTCTCTAAATAACGTTCACTTCTAACGTTATCCATTTATCTGATGGCATCTCTCCCCACTAGTTCCATGAGGATAGGGTCTTTATTTTTGGTCACTGCTAGCTCCTCAGTTGCTAGTATGGCACCTGGTACACACTAGGTGCTCATGAATGTCGGCCGAGTTGAGAATATTCAGCAGAGATGCAGACATTTGGCAAATCTCTCATGCACACAGTCCTTCTTTCACTTATCAGAATTTTGTCTTCATATATATATATATATATATTTTTTTTTTTTTTTTTTCTAGAGGGAGTCTCACTGTGTCACCCAGGCTGGAGTGCAGTGGTGCGATCTCGGCTCACTGCAGCCTCCACCTCCCAGGTTCCAGCAGTTGTCCTGCTTCAGCCTACCAGCTAGCTTGGATTACAGGTACACGCCACTATGCCCAGCTTTTTTTTTTTTTTTTTTTTTTTGCATGTCTTTTAGTAGAGATGGGGTGTCACTATGTTGGCCAGGCTAGTCTCAAACTCCTGATCTCAGGTGATCCACCTGTCTTGGCCTCCCAGAGTGCTAGGATTACAGGCGTGAGCCACTGTGCCCGGCCTGTCTTCACATCTTGACAGAAGAAGATTTACCATAGAGGAGAATCATGGAGGAATGTACCTGTCTGCAGGTAGGGTTGGACCCGGGGCTACGGGGTAGGAACTAGGTGACTTGGGGTCACTCTGTGCCTATCCTTAGTTTACTGGCATCCTCAAGCAATAAGTTCATTCATTTAGCAAACATTTATTGAGCACGTACTATGTATCAGGGCCTATTCTAGTAACTGTAGACCCCACAGTGAATAGACAACAGACCAAATCTCTGTCCTGGTGGAGCCGACATTCAAGTGAGGGAGACCTATAAAGACCCACTAAGCATCATGAGGAATTTAAACACTGTGTGAGCACACGACAAGCATTTGCACAAAGGGGCATTTGCACAAAAAGACATTTGCACAAGGGGCTGGGCACAGTGACTCGCCCCTGTAATCCCAGCACTGTGGGAGGCCGAGGCGGGCAGATAACCTGATGTTGGGAGTTTGAGACCAGCCTGACCAACATGGTGAAACCCCATCTCTACTAAAAATACAAAAACTAGCTGGGTGTGGTGGCGGGCGTCTGTAATCCCAGCTACTCAGGAGGCTGAGGCAGGAGAATCGCTTGAACCCGGGAAGCGGAGGTTGCAGTGAGCTGAGATCGCACCATTGCACTCCAGCCTGGGTGACAGAGCGAGACTCCGTCTTGAAAAAAGAAAAGAAAAGAAATTTGCATAATGAAGGGAATTGAGAAGGCAGACCAGTTGTTTTTTCAATTTTGAATAGGGTGGTTGGATCAGGCTGGGAAGGTGACGTTTGAGAAAAGGCCTGAGAGAGGTCAGGGAGTGAATTGTGCAAATATGCAGTGGAAGAACATTCCAGGTGGAGAAAGTTCAAGGGCCCTGAGGCATTGGCAGAAAGTTGGCTTTTACTTGAGTCATGAGGAGACAGGAGAGGGCTCTGTGCCTGGGATAGTCGTGTTGTGACATTCTAAATCAGAGCTCTGTTTTGGTCAACTTGAGATTGAGATGCTGTGAGACCCACAGGGACATGTTGAGAAGGCTTTTGATTTTTGTTGTTGTTGTTTATTTTTTTATGTTTTTATTTTTTGAGACCGTCTCGCTCTGTCACCCAGGCTGGAGTGCAATGGTGCGATCTCAGCTCACTGCAACCTCTGCCTCCCAAGTTCAAGTGATTCTCCAGCCTCAGCCTCCTGAGTAGCTATGATTACAGGTGCACGCTGCCAGTCCTGGCTAATTTTTGTATTTTTAGTAGAGACGGGGTTTCACCATGTTGGCCAATCTGGTCTTGAACTCCTGACCTCAGGTGATCTGCCGCCTTACCCTCCCTAAGTGTTGGAATTACAGGCGTTAGCCACTGCTCCTGGCCTAAACGCTTTATTTTTTCGAGACGGGGGTCTTGCTACATTGCCTAGGCTGATCTCAAACTCCTGGGTTCAAGCAATCTTCCTACCTAGACACCTCCCATAGTGTTGGGATTACAGGTGTGAGCCACTGCACCCAGCCAAGAAGGCTTTCGTTTTTTTTTTTTTTTTTTTTTTTGAGGCGGAGTCTCGCTCTGTCGCCCAGGCTGGAGTGCAGTGGTGCGATCTCGGCTCACTGCAAGCTCCGCCTCCCGGGTTCACGCCATTCTCCTGCCTCAGCCTCCCGAGTATAGCTGGGACTACAGGTCCCTGCCACCACGACCGGCTAATTTTTTGTATTTTTAGTAGAGATGGGGGTTCATCGTGTTAGCCAGGATGGTCTCGATCTCCTGACCTCGTGATCTGCCCATCTCGGCCTCCCAAAGTGCCGGGATTACAAGCGTGAGCCACCGCGCCTGGCCTCGTTTTTTTTTTTTTTTTTTGAGATGGAGTTTTGCTCTTGTTGTCCAAGCTGGAGTGCAATGGCACTATCTCAGCTCACTGCAACCTCCGCCTCCTGGGTTCAAGCGATTCTCCTGCCTCAGCCTCCTGAGTAGCTGGGATTACAGGCACGTGCCACCATGCCCGACTAATTTTTTGTATTTTTAGTAGTAACAGTGTTTCACCATGT